CCCAACCATTTGATGCTGTTCCCTGGGCTGTAGGAGAATTTATGCCCAAGAGCAAATTTGCAGCCAGGAATTCGTGCCTGATCCTTGGGGTGTGGGTACAGGCAGATCTCATCAGGGTTTGGCTGGCTGATGTGTTGGGGGGTTGATGGCTGTGGAGAAGCAAAACAGGCAGCAACTAGCCTCCTTTTCTCCTGAACAAGGGAGTCATGGCTGGGCTCATCTCTGCTCAGCCAGAGGGAAAAAAAAAAAGTAGTGGAGAAAAGCCACTGAGCTCTGCAGAGGGGATTAGGATTTACTGTCATATCAGGTGAATCCAGGTCAATGAGAAGCTGAGGCCAGATTTTATTTTAGCTGATAATAAAACATCCTCTTCACACAACTAAAAGCAGGGATGTTGTTACACATCCTATTTAACCTGACTCACACAGCCAAGCTTGAATTGCTACATAACTGCATAATTACTAATAGGATCTTTTTTTCCTAGTTTTTTATCTAATGTTGTGAGGTTAAGAGTCTGTAAGATGATAGTCTCCTTAAATATTATTAAATCATAAAAAGGAAAAGGGAGCTGTGAGCCTGAAAAAGAGATTTTTTTTCTCAGCCTTGGTGTGGCTGTTTCACAGTTACGGGCAAAGTCCTTAAAAATTTCCTTGTCTCAGTCTACTGAACTGTGAAATGATGTTAACACAACTGCAGCTCTGGGATCTGGGAGTGCTGATGCTTTAACTGTGCTTGAGTGTTTTAGATGCAGAATGAGAAGAAGTTTAAAACATTACTATGTCATGATCTTTTATACTTGCTGTGTACTTACTGCTCTGTGCTTGCAAGTGTAATATTTTGTCCTCTGAGAGATGATTTATAGCACTTGAAGATATTTATTTGTATTTCTCCAAATGATGATACCATGTCCCTTTCAGCAAATAAGTAAACCCAAGTTTTATGACTCTTAGCAAATTTAAAAAGTGTTTCTGATAGGCTGTATCATACTGACATAGAATGCTCTGTTTCAGTGTCATTAAGAACTGAATTATTATTATGGCAAATTCTGGTGAAAGCTCAGCAAAGCAGATCCATCAAATCAATATGTAAGAATAATGTTGTTACATGTTACCAAACTTATTCTTAACAACTCGTGTTAAAAGTTGATTGAATCAAACTGCTCAACTATATATAGTGTTGTTTCTCTCTTTTTTCGTTGGTGTTTAGTTTTGTTTGGTTTTTTGGTGGTTGCTTTTTGGCAATATCCCTGAAATCATCTTCAAAATAGCTTTTCTCATAACAGAAAAACTCCAAATATGTGTTTTGTCCCACTAGGGATATTTAGGGCTAAAATATCTGCTAATTTGCATCTGATGGTGAGATGTTTATTTTCAGAACAAAATGTAAACGTTTTCTAAGATGTGTCATATTCATTTCACACATTTCCTGAAACACTGTGGGCATCTGTTTATTTGTAATTTTTGCATAATTTGGCCATAGTTTGTTTGATATTTTCCCATGCTTGCTTTCTGAGGGAGGAAAAATATGCAATATGCAGAGTGTTTAATGCAAAATGGCCTTTTAGCAGAAGCTGAACTTCACTAAATTGGTCTTTAGGAGGCATCTGCTTTATATCTCTTACTTGTCCCTTCCTATTTCTGCTGGAGTTTGATTTCTCACCTGGCTTATTTACCATTTTTTTCCCTCCTGGCCTCTCCTGTGAGGGTTGAGATGTTCTTCTGTGTTTAAATGTTAGCAGCTGCCTGGAAGTAACCTTAACTGCACCTGGGAAAACCTGATTTTGTTTCCTTAGAAAAAATGTGGTGAGATAAATGGTTGCTTGGGAATAAACACGAGCTTATCTGTAGACATTTATTGGTATGTGGGGATAAGGCAAGGGACAGTAGCTCATGTGTGGATAATAACCCTGCATCCCTAAAACCTCAAGATAATTTGAGGGAAAGCTGTGGTTTCTCTAATCACCTCCCTGTTCATTCTGTGCAGACACACTCTTGCAAGTCTGTCACTACACATTAGGCAGAAATTGAGGTGAAGAGCTCTTTGATTGCCTCCAAGTCAACCCCTAAGTGTCATTGAACCCTGAGTACTAATGAGATCAATTTGCAATACCATAGACCATTGAGGGAATGGAATCACAGAGGGAGATGAGCATATGTTGGAGGCTCTGGGCTTTGTGGGAGATACCTTTTTTCCCTAGTTGCAGGTGGATGTGTGCTGAAGCTAATCCAAGAAAGATTTTGAGGAAGATTATATTCTTACTCCCATCAATAGTACTTCCACAGCCTTTTCCTTCAGGACCTGGTATCTGTCTATCATGGCACAGCTGCTCAGAAAAGGGATGAAACCCTCTTGCAGGGGCAGTACTTGGGACACCAGGCTGTGCTGGAGGCAGGTCTGCACTCACACCTCATGTCCCTGCACTGCACTGCTGCCTCCCAAACATCCAACACCCTCTGCTCCCTGCTGCTGCCACCCTTCCTTCAGCACAAAGCTCTCCCTCTCCTCTCCAGACCCAGAGATCTGTTCCCTTCTTATGCCCTCCAGCAGGTCCCTACCCACTCCAGCCTGCTTACCCCCTCCACCACTGGATGCCTTGGGTATTCATTACTCCTATCAGTGCACCACTGCAATCTAAGGCCTCCTAAGCCATGCTTAATTCATTTTCACAGAGTCATGTCACAAACCTCAGATCCAGCAGCAGAGAAATATCCAGCAGATAAGGAATTGTGTTTAACAAATCAGATGGACTTAATCAGAGACCTGCCCCACGTACACGACCAGTCAGTAACAGCTGAGTTCTACCATAAATATCCACTTTCCTCCCTGCCTCAAACTAAGATGAACCAACTTGTATTGGTTTGGAGAAAATTCTTTTTTTCCCCCTCATATTGAAGCCACAAAATAATGTGTATACAAGCTTTGACAGCAGATCTCCCAAACGAAGCTAAGGATAGAAGAAATTGTTCTGCAAAACCAGGTTCTCACAAGTTGTCTTTAAAAGCAGGCAGGAAAGGCAGTGAGAAGAGCTCTCTTT